ATTCAACTCCTTCAACTCTTTAAGCATGGACTCAACTCTATAAGCATGAATTCAACTCTTTTAAAAAAAAAATTCTTATTTCAAATAAAATGGGCTCAGTTAAAAAAATATGAACTTTATCAAATTAACCTAAAGAATCCTAGACTAATTCTATCTCTAACAAATTAACCCTAATAAAAATAAAGATAAAAAAATATACCCATAAAAAATAAAGAAATAATTATGGCCCCAAAAATTTGAGAAAAATAAAAAACATTGAATCCATCTGATCTTGATCTGCATCACTCTCCCCTCGTTGGAGAAAACTCATCCTCGAGTTTTAAAATGCGCTAAGATAAAATTTTCCTCACAACCTTCTTTAACTCGGACATTTTAAACACAATCTTGCGACCTGTGGGTTACAGCATTGATCAAAATACAATAATTGTGCACTGAAATTGAGAAACCCTCGAGGAATGAGTCATCGTATATCCATAGAAATTGTTGATGTTTAGCCCTAAAACATACTAATGGAGCATCTTTGAGATGGGCACTTTCGATGACTAAACGAACTTCACTTATTGATTCCCCACAAGACTAGAAATTGTTCATGTCTAGGATCTACCCTACAGGACTTAATACACCCAACACCCAATTCCCTGACCAATGACGCACTTTGTCCCTTTTGATCTTGCTGGAATTTCAGAGGTGGGAAGCTTTCACAGGCAATATCTCATACTCTAGTGTTTTAGAAAGCATGAAAACCTAAATAGGGTATTAGGAACAAATTAAGGCTGATCTTGAAGGCATAGAATCCTCCTATTGCTGGCCGTACCCCTTTTTCTTGTCCAAACAACAAAACCGTAATTATGGTTTCAATGTGCCACCCTTTTCTTATTAAATTGGGTGGCAAGAACGCTATATGGTTTTAACTGATCTAGAGAAAGTTATGATTTGGTGGATGTTGGAAAAGAAGGGAGTCTCAAGACACTACATTGACTTAGTGAGAGATATATACAAGGGAGTGTTAACTACCGTTCGAATAATTAGTGGAGAGATGAGTGAGTTTTAAATGACAATAAGTTTATATCAAGGATTAGCATTGAGCTCGTGCCTCTATCTTAGTTATCGACAACTTAGCTAAGCACCTACAAGATGAGATACTGTGATACATGTTGTTCGAGGATGACATAGTTTTGATCGATAAGACTCGAAACGGCATCAACACAAAGTTAGAACTTTCGGGGGATGCTCTAGAATCTTAAAGTTTTAAATTTAGTCGAACAAAGACAAAGTATATGGCATGCAAGTTGAGTAATAATAGGAGTAAAGACGAGTACGTAATTAAGATTAACGGCCAAGAAATACCAAAAAAAGTGCACTTTTAATATCTTGGGTCAATAATCTAATAAAATGGAAAGATTGAGTAAGATGTACATAGAATTAGAGCTAGGTGGGTAAAGTAGATATGTACAACAAGAGTTTTATATGATCGTTGTATAGCAATGAAGCTAAAGGATAAGTAATCTAGGACAACTGTGTGACCAACTTTACTTTATGAGGCGGAATGTTGCGTGTTAAAAAAATTATATACCCATAGAATGAATGTAACTAAGATGAGATTGTTGAGATGGCTGAGTGGCAAGACAAGAAGGAATAGAATTCGAAATGAATACATTCAATAGTATTTAGGTGTGGCACCAATAGACGATAAGATCTTAGGTGGGCTGGAAATGTGTGGTGCAGACCTAGTATAGCATCTGTTAGAAGGTGCAAGTTAATTCAAGTGGAAGGCTCAAAAAGGGCAAAGTGTAGCCCAAAAGGACATGGTTGAAAATTGTGAGAAAATATGCGAACTTATGGTATCATTGAGGCTTTGGCCTTTAAGAAAGCAGAATGGCGGACCAAGATTCGTGTAGCGGATCCCAATTAGTTGGGAAAAAGGTTTGATGATGATAATGATGATGACCCTTTTTGGAAGGAAGGAGAGAGAAAATTAAATTTTAATGAGAGAAGGAGAAAGATTTGGTGCACAGAGGAGAGAAAAATATGTGTGTTGGGAGAGAGGGGTTCAATGGTGTTTAAATAGAAAGAATTTCTTCTCCTATTTGGATTAGAATTCCTTCATTAGGTATTGTCTATCCAATAACATAGTTTAACTAATAGGAACTTAGGAATCATCCATCCTACAAATCAGCCATCATGATTTTGGGATGATTATTAAGAACTTTATCCCTTTATAATTTCACCAAAGTCTAACTTCTAATTTAAATTGGATTATATCCAATCGAGAACTTCCTATTTCCTGTTTCAAAATTTGTAGGAAGTCAAAGATAACTTTTATTAAGTCAAAACAAACTCCCACAAAGCTAGGACATAATCTTTTCTTTTAAAAGATTATTTTGACGTAAGTAAATTTAATAAAAAAAAAAAACTATCACTTAAAAATAAGTGGGGCGCACCACCCTTATGGACCTCAAGTGGGGTCCATAGGCCACACATCCCACCCATGTGAGGGTGGCACACATGTGGGGCTGGATCCAAGGGCCCCACATGTGCCCTTCCCTAGTCTGAAAATTTTGAAAATGCCTTTTTCAAAGATTTTACAACAGAATTTTAATAATTCTAAAAAAAAAAATCTAAATATTCACATAAACATCTCTAATACCAAAAATAGAAGATCTAGAAGTGAACTGATACCAATGGGTCAAAATAAGTGACTATAAGGGCACCCCACCCAACCCAGTAACCATGATCTATAACTGTCTTCTCCAAACAACCCAACATAGACCCATGACCCACAGTCTCATGCAGGGGCTCATGTTTGGCTTATCAAAGTTGGCCCAATAAACTATGAAACTATGATCTCGGAATGTGGATTCAGTTTCCCTTTTAAGAGCAAGTCCAATACTTATCACTACAGTGCAAAGGGGACTCTCTCTATGCACATGCACAAGCGCCTCTCTATAGGGCTGCTTGCCGATAATGCGGTTGTCATGTGTACATGCCAAGCGAAAGTTTCTTGAGGCTTTGGCCCTTGCTCTTACAGGCCTACAACTACACACATGAGATCATATAATTCTCCTGGCCTACAAACATCATTCTTAGGCATCTCTCCAACTTCAACAAGGGATGACCCACTACGAACCCTTCTCGATAGTGACAGATACCCAGGGGTAAGGGTTTTGGACGTAACTAGTGTCATAAACTGCCTGACCCTTGTCAATCAACACACACACTCCCACTAAATCACGTAATTCACTATAAATATTATTTTTTTACAAGCTCTCTTGGCCTTTATAGGCCACAAACACCAACACAATCATCCAAAAACAGCAGGTTTTAGGGCATTCTCATAGGGACAGCGTTGTCTGGAGAACCATGCAGGTTTTTGACTTTTTCTTTGCTGATCCAAATACTTTTATTGAATCACGAGAGAAGAAAACTTGTTTTATTCTTTGAGCCCTTTCTTATCGAGCCCTTAATGGTAAAGCTCTTTAAGCAAAACCTACCAAACGGGCCGCAGATTTTCCTGGGAAATTGGAGAAGCGCCGGTGTTATTAGGAAAACCTTGGAAGAATTGAAAAATTAACTCCAATCAAGTGCGCCTTTACGCCACTCATAAAGGAAACCCATAGTACAGATGAATTTGATGGCATAGGTATAGCAAAGTGTTCATGTCTAATAGCTCCCATCCCCTAACAGTTAGGGAGAAGCACTTGACATCAAAGGTCCCAAAATAGAGAAGCACTTGACATCACGGGTTCCAGAATAGAATATCATCAACCATGAGGGCAAAAGAAATCATTGAATAAGATCCTTTAAGTTTCAGGTGGTTCTTGAGGTTCTTACAACTAAAGAACATATTGTTTATGTGTGAAGACAACTGCATATCACTTCAAGAATTCCATTACAAATTTATAAAAATTAAATAAATAAATAATAATTCCAGAATTCTTTCATGTTTCCCAAGAAATTCATATTATGTTTTAATTTTCACATTAGCCATAACAAAACAAAAGTATAGTATAGGAAAAGCACAAGTCATTTTGTTCTTTGACATTTCAAACATAGTAGACGGGGATGGGCCCTATATATTAATAGGACAGCAGCCTCAAAGTTACACAGCAGGAAACCATGAGTCATCAACACATATTTAAATAGTTTTGTGTTTCGATTTTCAGATCTAAAAATATGTGACTATGTCATTGGCCCAATTTTTTTCTGCAACAGCTTTGTCAATCCTCCAGTAAATTCAAGTACCATGCTTATGTCTGAATGCTTCAAAAATTAAATATTGAGAGATATAAGTGTATCACATTTTTTCCCGTTATCTAATGTTTTATGACAACAGATTTAAATATGGGCCTCAATAACTAATGAAGTCCATCATGAAATATTCTCTATTTACCCAAAGCTACAAGTTTCTGAACCAGAAAACAAGTTTTCAGCTCCCAATGTAGTGCCTAATGCACGGGGAATGTATATGATAATCCAACAGAGTTCGAAAAAACATAGCTAAACAGGATCATCAATATCCAATGAAATGGTAGACAGTGGTGGATCTGGTGCATCCCACTCTCCGTCCATCGCCATTCATCATAGTCTATGTATTGTTTCAATTTTACCGAAGTCCTTAAAGATATTACAGTTTGTTATTTCATTGGACAGTGATGATGCCAGTAATTAGAGGCCTAAATATAGGATTGTTTTACGTTCCCCTTTTGTATAGTCAAATGGTGAAGGTAATTTGATACATGCAATCATCTATGATGAAGGGTGGTAGTTAAAGTGCAATGGCAACACTTGTACCACTTGTACCACAACATCCAGAACAGAAGGAACCGACAACAAAAAAAGAAAAAAAAACCAATGAGATACAGAGGCATCCAAGAAAGTTGAAAGAAGTCGAGAACAACAAATAGGAAAACAAATGGCTTAAATAGACATTAAGTTGTAAACTATAAAAAAGTTCAGAAATTACAAGGCAAACAATACAAAATCTCAGCAATGTATTCCACCTTACTTCCTCTTTGCACAACCACCTCAGCAGCTTCGGATTGTTGCTATCAGCTGGGTGCAGAAAGCTGTGGATTGATGGGGAAAAAATCAGTAAGAAAAACAACACCAAAGTATCAGAAGGATCTTGATATAAAGCTTACTTGTTGAATTCTGTTCGATTCAGAAGGCCATCTCCATCCTCATCAGAAGAGTTAAAATGATCTTCCTTCCACCATCCAATTTCATAACCATAAGAATTATTATCTGCTCGAGCAATAAGGAAATCTTAGTCAGTAAGTGGAACCCTAGGAGTCTTCTTCATTTACTATGGTGTCCCATTCTCATAATGGAAACAGCATTATGATAAACTAAATGAACAAAAACAAAATATAATGGAAAACATGGATGATTACGGATAGGTAAAAATAAAAGCTAAACAAACACTCTAGTTCAAGAATCTTTTAGTGATGAATATAAAGGTTAGCAATGAGCATTCTAGGAGGTGAAGAAGTGAGGGCTGTGAATAAAGTAATTAGACCACAGTCGCACTTACCAAGTGGCATTCTTGATGAGTCTAAGGCATATGCATTAGTATTTGCCAAGGAACAATCATAGTTCCTCCAACCCAACTGAAAAGCACAAAACAAACAAAAACTAAAGCAGAAATTCAAGGGAGGTATAGGTGATTACAGCCAACCTAAGTTTGCAAGCCCAAGTTTGGACTCAGTGAATTTTACGGATAGGGGCCTACCTGGCAACCTGGTGGATTGAATGGGCTGATTTCAAAGAAAATGGAGGATGCTGCATCAAACTCTGGCTCAGTGCTGTCTTGGGTGACCATGCATTTATGTGTGAAATAGAACATGGGTGCCATTTCATTGCCCAAGTAGGCGTTCATCCACCATAGAACACCATCTCTTAGCAACGAAAACAGAAAATACGAGTTCTCATCCAACCCAAAAATTGGCAACTTTAGATGCACCACCAACATGTCAACAGAAACATATGTCCATCCAAACTCGGGGTTATAAAGTAAAACCATCCTTCTCAAAAAAGGAATGAACAAACCCAATTTTGGTTTGACCTGCTCATCCCAGGCATATACTCCATCAACCAACTGGGTTTTACCAATCAAGCACAAAGTGTAAGCTCAATTCGAAGGAATGCATGGGTGTTGAAAGCCAATCAAGGACAAGGTCCTTTTGTTCCTATAGTGGTATAACAGTCATTAAGCCAATTAACTCAACCTTATTTCTTTCAGAAGAAATAATAAATGCAGTGCATCCCAGGAACAAGGAGCTCCACCTGCTATATAGATTACATAGATTACACAAAATTGCTGCCATATGACTATTAACAGAAGGCCTTAAAATTATAGCTGAGTTTACTCCACTAAAATAAAAAAAATAAGAAATAAAAAATAAATCATTGAGACCTAATTCCCAACTGCCACATGTAGGCTTGGACATCTGCACAGCAACACAGCCATTGCAAGCCCTGGCCATGCAAATGCAACTATCGATTTCCAATGTGGGGACCATGTGGGGTGCAAGGTTGAAAAGGAATAACTAGATTTTCTGGGGTGAGATTAGATCCAGAGAGACTCTGTCCAAAAAGATCCAGAGAATTGTTCTATTTCGGACTTTGGTATCCCCATAGTTCAAGGGAGACAATATGACTGAAGTTTGTATAATGGGAGGTTGCTCTCTTGAGATCATCCTCCCTAAGGCCAGCATCCAAATGACAAAGAACACCAATTAGATAGATAAATATCAAATTCCAATGGGCGCTCAAGGGGAAACCCCTGGATAGAGAGAGAATGGAAGACTCATAGTGACCAGGATCGGGAGCGTAGTCAGACACCGGATCATGATCGAGACCACGAGATTGAGAGATGCACGCAGATGCGTGGAATAGGGATTGAGATCCATCCACAATGAGTCAAAGGGATCTTGACACCAATATGATGGGAGCCAATCCAAATTTGTTTAGGATCAAATGATAAAGTATATGGGATCGAGTTCAGTCCAGCTTATAATCGATGCTTCCCAAGAGTACTTAACCAAGGTACTCTAGCTCAGGAACAAAGTCTGTTGAACGATACGATTAATGTTTTTTCTGAATTCAAAAACCAAAGTATCATTAAATACAAAGAATCCATTTTTAGAATATTTTGAATTTTTTTTGTTATGATTGAAGTGTGTTTCATAAGTGAGAAGTGAAACTGAAAACCCAATATGAGGACGCAAATTTTAGTCCTCAGGCATGAAGGAAGCTCTAGGGGCTAACAAAAATGTTTGTGATCCAGACACAACAACTCAAATAAGTTGGTGATCCATGCTCCCATTGTAAATAAAACTCGAAATGTAATGATAATCATCGGTACCAATGTAACTGAAACTCAATTCCACAGCGGTGGAGGCTCGATTCTAGATGCTATTAAACAGTGATCTAGATCCTCAATTCCAAGAATCAAGATCCCTAAACTCAAAAAACATCTAGAATTGAGATCCCTTGTCCTGGAGCGCAAGATCGAGCTTCCAGAGCTAGTGCGACCACCTTCGTAGCCATTCCTGGTACCTATGGGAAGACTAGCTAGGGACGGCTCAGCAAAAATGTTGATGTCCTTTTAGGGCCCCATAGGGAAAGTGACTCTACTACGGCAGAATTAAAAAGCCCTTTCAAGGGGTTAGGATTGCCTCTAGTCATGATTGGTTCCTAACCATACTCCACACTTCATACTGGAGGGAGATTTCTTTAATTGTGATACAATAGGCTAGAAATGAAGTGTCGTTCCTATGGCATTTGGCGATATAATTGATGATGTAATTGACAAAAGAGATAATATATTGATTCTCTTTTGTCATGTGCCTCAAAGCATCAACAAGGCAGCAGCTGAATTTGCAAATAAAAGATATGAAGTCTCCAAAAATTATTATATGCTTTTCTAATAACCTGTTGTAGACTTCAGATGCCACCTTAGCATCTCCCAGTTCATTTTTCTTTTTTTTATTTCTACTATTGTGATTTTATCTCCCTTATCATTATGAATAAGAATGTCAACTTTCAGATGAAAAATATATATCAATCTTCAATTCAATGCATCCAATAGTGCTTAGAGCATTCATGACGCACTACATTTTCCAACCAAGCCTCTTTCAGGAAGGGCTTTCCTTTGCCTTCACTTCATCAAAAATGCCTTCTACCCCATCTCCCCAAGTCTCCTCAGCAAGTTAGGTCAATCCTATTCTCTCTTCAACAGACTTCAGTTTGATGGCCTCCGCTGCATATCCTTAGTCAGAATCCTTGAAGAGATCCACTAAGGCCCATCAGGCACTACTCTGTCAACAGTCTCAATCACCCTTTGAGCTTCCATAGTTAGGAACCCAAGAGACAACATGCTTGCAAATGAGAGTCGTTCCTCATGATGAAAATTATGACTAGCAATGCAAATCCATAACCAACAGATTTACATCAATAAAATTTATGAGATATTCCTTTTCAGATTTTGGAGTTCGTGAAAATTTATGACTTCAGCTCTCCTATCTTTTGAAGAGGGGTACATGAACTGTTTTCGCCCTCCTTTTTTAGACAAAATCTAAGGACCTTTTTTTCTTCTTACGACATTTTTTTTTTGTTTCTCCTACGATTTCTTCCCTTCCCTTAGTCTCCCTTTCTCTAAAAACCCAACTTTTTAAGCTCTTCTCTCCCTCACACTCTCCCTCTCTAAAAACCCAACCCATTATTCCTTCATCTAACATTCTAGGCATAAACTACATGAGTATGCTACTAACCATATTATGGTGGTATTTAAAAAGGCATATAAAATTCTTAGCTTTTAGAACAGCTTCAATTGTTTGAACCCTTGATCTCCCTCACCTAAATCATAATGTCTAACCCGAAGCCAAAGCAAGAGGCATGGAAAGGGGATATATTAGATATACATAATAAGTAATAGCACAAATTATAGCAATACAAAGTTAACATTATCAGAAAAAAAAAAAAATAGCACAAAATTATAGAAACTGACAAGGATTACCATGTTGGCCTGCTAAAACTCCCTAAAAAAGTGTTCATGGTCCAAAAGCAGCAGTTTTCTGACCAAGAAATGGTGCTGCGATAGAAGTCCAGACTTAGTTTAAAAATCTGTTAGATGAAAGTGTGAAACCCTCATCAAAAATGTGGAGCACAAGCTCCCTAACAAAAATTTAACAAGAAAGTCCTTCGCATGCTTAATTTATGAAAACTATCCATGTAAATTTCCCTTATAATCAAGCTAATTCAATATTTGTGTGATATTTATATCAAAAGATAACTTGTTATATCAGTGTGTCAAAACTCTCAGTGTTGATTCGCAACTCGTGAGTCAACTCAACTCAGCAACTGCTGCGAGTCTCAAGAGTCTTACAAAATTTGGCCAAGTCTTACAGTTTTGCCTAAAAGTTCATAGAGACATAGATGAGGCTTTAAATGATTCATCCAAATTGACTCATTATGACTCACACGGGACCAGTCCTAGTCCCCAAGCACGGTTCTGAGTTTAAAATGTGTATAACATAAAGAAGGCACCCTCCTGAAAATGAATTAAGGTCCATGTATACATGGAAGTAGCTTTTCCTAAAAAAATTGAAGTGATTTCTTCTAAATCATAAAAATGCCTTCACCAAACATGATAGAGAGAGTAGCAAAGGAACTGTCCGATCCAGAATACATGAGCAGCTTTGGCAAATTGTCTTTATAATTTATAAGACAAATCAATAACTACAAAAATAAGAAAATCCAACAGAACTAATCATCTCCCCAGTACATAAATTTCTTTAAAGGTTTAGCTGCATCTGAAGTTTTAAAAATCTAAAATAGGCAACAAAAAGAAGCTGCCGCAATAAACCAAGCTCATGAAAAATGAGAATTAACAAATAAAAACGAAATCTCTCTTAGTAAATAAGGCTATAACTGCGACAAAATTGCGAATCCACCATAACGGTAGATACAAGAAAACTGCACAAAAACCTGCTGAAAGCAATGAATTTATCGTAAAATGATCCTGTGGAAGAAAATAACCAACCCCCAAATACATGAATCTAAACTAGAGCTCCTATGTATCGAAATTAACAAACCAAATTCGCCTTTATGGGACATAGGAAAACTGCCGAGAAACCACTCACCGGCGTGACGAGCCCAACTGGGTGGGTCATACTCAGCGAACGAAACAAATCCATCTCTGTTCTTGTCATGGAGCTCCATATCCCTCTCTGTTCTATGCATCACCTCCCTGAAAGACTGTTGTAAATTCCACTGCGTCAACTCCTCTGTGCTCAAAAACCCATCAGCTGGTGCTATATCAATCCTTGGAAACAAAAGGACCAATCGACTCGTCACATTGAACCTCTCCTCATCGTTCAAATAGTCCTCTGCATTCATGAAATCCTCCCACTCCGGTTGTGATTCTTCGCCCGGGGCACTCGAATGATTCAATTCATGGTAATTTTGCTCAATGAGTTTCTTTTCCCACTCCCTGTCTTCCCGATGCCTCTCGATCTCTGCAACGAAGGGGTCGAATGCCACCGGATCATGCTTCCTATCTCTGGAAGAGAAGGAGAATTTGGAGCGAAGCTTGAGGCGGGCCGGGCCCACACGACGATGGAGGCTTCGCGAGGTCTGGGACTTGTTGGGGCCGTAATGGATCAAGAAGAGGAGGAAGAGAGCAACGGATATGTAGATTATCACTGACTTCATGGCTACCTCTCTCTCTCTCTCTCTCTCTTCTCTCTCTCTTAAGGCTTTTCTTCTGGTCTTTGCTGTTAAATTCTCTCTCTCTGGATTGTCAATGGCGGGTGGTTTGATGTTCAACTGAGGAGCAGTACTTTTGTTTAGTTTTCAACGAAAATGGAGATCTGCAAGACTCTAATTTGCCGCAATAATGGACCCAGTAATCCTTTGGTGAGCAGAGGCATAATGACGGGCACGTGCTCTTACATCACATAGAATGAACAGAAGTAGGGGTGGCAACGGGACCTGGACCCGGACCCTTACCCGAATAGTATTTAGGTCCAAAGTTTAAAACTATATCTGAACCTGTCGGATCCAGGGTTTACCACCGTATTACTATGAACTTTTTTTTTTTTTCTTTTTTTACTGGGAAAAATTGTATAAAACCAAAGTAGACTTTCTAAAAAATTTACCCCAACATAATTTTTTTCAGCGCTTTTTTTTCCCAAAACCATATTTCCTAGCCAATA